GCGTCTGAGGGCCCTTTTGCTGCCCATTGGCAAAATTAGGCGATCCCGGTTCCTGAGCTTTGCTGCAAGACTCCAAGCCGAGAATGTTGTCCGCTTGGGTGATATCAGTCCCGATGCGCGCCCAAATCGAAGTATGTTCACTCATTGATTGCTATAGCGCCCCAAGTGATTACACTCCCTCCCATTGCGATAAATGATAATCACACTAAACGGCTAATTTCCGTCCATAGACATGTTCTCCCCGCTGGCGTTCCCTACTGGGATGATTCTCTATGATCTCACCTATTCCGTACCGCCCACGTCCCACTTGGAACTGTTTCCCTTCGAGATATTCCGTGAGCCTTTGGTGGTAATTGCGATTGCCGATGGAGCAGAGCTCATTGATGATACAAAGAACGGGGAGAAAACCTCAGCGGTCGATCGGCCCCCGGAGCCAAGCGAACTGGAGCAACTTCGACAGGAACTGGAAACACTAAAGCAGACCAACTTGAGGGCCTTGGTACACCAGCTTCTGATATTTGACTATGACGGCGTGGAGAAATTGTTCAATGGCCCGGATAATGTTTCATGGGTGCCGCGACCCGAAGCGTCTAAGGCTACTACAATGAAAACGGTATTATGCGACATAACATCCTTGCTTCTATCCGAATTAGATGAGTTCGCCAAGACCATACAGAGTATTCCTACCATCAATTCCCCGAGAGCATCATCCTGGGGTCCGCATCGAGGGCCCGACATCCGCCCACGCCCAACAGATCGCCTATTTCATCGGATGACGATGCCTGCGCAGCTACCATCCAATCCCAACGGTGCATCAGAGTCGCGCCGGGGCTCTAATCAAGGTTCGCCTGCTCCCGGTGACCATGAGACGCCTACTACATTCGACGAAATAACCCGGTCAATTCAACTGGCCAACCGCTCCAACTCGATAAGCAAGCCACATTCTCTTCCATCGTCAAAAGAGCACAGTCGTGATCGCATGTCGGTAAGCGGCATGAGCGCAACAGACCGAACAAAAAATCGGATCAAAGGACGTATAGGTGTGGTTGTTGGAACATTATTTCTCCAGGCAGGCAGATGGCCTGATGCTCTCAAAGAACTTGTCGAGGCTGCGTCCAATGCAAGAGCCAGTAGTGACTATGTGTGGCATGCCAAAGCGCTGGAATCCATTCTTCTCTGTCTGCTGATGCTCGCTTGGGCTGGGATGGATTTTCAGGTATGTCACTTGGAATGAATTTTGCCGCTGATTGTTTGTCACTTACGCCGAAAAGATACCACCTGTATGCTACCCCGTGTCCGACAAGTCATCGAAGCTGTCATACAACACTACCTTCGACTCAGGCTCGTCCTCCGCAGGAAACCGGATCATATCTCTCCAAAATCTGTCCAACCTACTCCCAGATCTTTCGAACAATATACTGAATCTCTATAACCGCGCCGCTAACATCACCGATGAACCATTGCCTCAGCTAGTCTATTCTGAGACCGTCGTTCGCCTGGCAAGGTTATTGGCTGCCGCACGAATTCGAGATGGTGCTTTGGACGATGTAGCCCTGAAGAATATCGTCACAAACGAGCCTCTGGTGCCATTACTCCGCCCGGAGCGGCCCCGTGGGCTCAATATGCTTCGGAAGTCTGAGATTGCAAACTTCCTTTTCCGCGCATTACCTCTATCCCCTGGGTCAGATCTGCCTCCCACTGATGCTATACCTATCACTGTGGGTGTGATCTCCATCTTAAATATTCTCGATCTACCACGAAAGAAGGCGTTTCTTTTACGAGAGCTTCTTTCGCTTATGATTCCTACCCTCGTACAAGCGCGTAAGATTGGCGCAGCAGAAGTGGGGGTCCATCCTGCAGCTGGGTTGGCGTCTTTGACTGACACCGCGTTTGACATCAACGCTCTTGACCTTGGCCCGGGCAATATGGAAGAAAGTATGCGTTCTCTACTCGCTGTAATAGGGGACACATATGGCGTGCAGCCGTCGTCGTATTGCGAATGGGAAAAAAGACGCTCATCTACTATTAGTACCAACGATGCTTTCCCCGACTATGATTCCGTGGCCGCTATTGTCGAACGATCTTTCCGTCATGCTAATCTGGATCAGTATGGGGATCTCAATCTCAAGATTGACGTTCTTAAGGCAGCTATCAGCTCGTGTGAGGCACTTCCAGATTTTGATGGTGTGCTTCGTTTCACAGTCGAACTTCTTCAAACCATTCGAGGGGACCTGATGCTCGCAGAGACCCAATTCAGCCCGCCTTGCCTGTCTCGTGATGAGCAGATTAGGCTCTTAAACAATATCAAACGAACTGTTGGTGCGGCCAAAAGATTAGGCGCACCCGAGCTGGAAGCGGAATATTGGGATGATTTCTTAGTACGGGGTATTGAGCTTTTGCCTCTCCCTGATCCCAGACGACCTGTTCGTCACTCCAAAACAGATCTGGATGCTGTCGCAGCGGATCACGAAAAGCCAGCCAAAGATCCGTTCCTCTATAATCCCTTCGCGAAGGCAAGTACCAAGGCTTCTGAGGTTCTGATGGTTGCGGGTGAATATGCGGCATTCCAAGTCTCGCTTCAGAACCCTTATGACTTCGAGCTAGAGATCGAGAAGCTTAGCCTGGATGGTGATGGCGTGCCTCTGGATGCTGTGGCAGAGTGGGTGCTCGTGCCTCCTCTATCCTTGCAAAAGATCACTGTTTACGGGCAAGCCCTTGAAGAAGGTGCGCTCAACATTACTGGCTGCATTGTCAAGGTTAGGCACTGCAGGGAGCGCAGGTTCCCAATCTTCCAGTCAATTTGGAAGCCAGAGACAGAAGTGAAATTTAAACGCACAGGGCTTGCTGCTAAGAAGCCTGCGGTGGATCGTCCTCTGTCCTGGAGTTCGACCACCGCCAGAGACGGTAAAACGATACCCAAGAAGGGCCCTGACACTTCGGCCTGCGAAGTCAAAGTCATTGGTAAACAACCATCTCTAGCAATTGAGTCGTTGTCTCTTTCTCAGTCCGCAATCATGGTACTCGAAGGCGAACTCAGCTCCTTCGACATTACGCTTCGCAATACGTCACCGTGCCCGCTTAATTTCATCTTATTCACTTTCCAGGACTCCACAACCAGACAGGTGCAGTCAGCGCTTGGCAACAAAGACCTCCTTCCTGTTGAAATCTATGAGCTGGAATTGAACCTTACCAGACCTGCGCTGCGCTGGCGCCGACAAGGTTCGAATCCTGAAGACTACTCGATCCCGGCAGGTCAAAGTGCTACGTTTACCATCAAAATCATCGGAAAGCCCGGCTTGCAGGACACTACTGTGCAAATTGATTATTCGTACCTTGGCATGTCGGACGGCGGGTTGCCCGATGTCTTCTATACCCGCCAACTGTTCGTCCCACTTACTGCTACGGTCAATGCCAGTGTTGAGATCGCACGGTGTGATATCTTACCACTCAGTAGTGATTTTGCCTGGTGGAATCGTAAGAATGGTACTGTGGAAGGCGAAGCTGATGATAGCCAATCCCTTGATTCCGGTGCTATCTCACCGGTCCTGTCCCATCTTGCCCACGGCAAGTACGGACCTGATCACTGCATCTGCCTGCTAGACCTGCGCAATGCCTGGCCCAACCCTTTGTCCGTGTCCTTGAAGGTTCAGGAGCAGCCTGTGGAGTCTGAGCAGGCTGCAACCTACGACGTTGCTGCTGACTCAGAGTGCCAGTATACTGTGCATGGAGAACTTCAACCGGGTCAAACATCTCGCTTTGTTCTCGTACTTCCTCGGGTGCATCTAGAAAACCCCCACGCATCAATACCCATACTGAACACGGGCGTGAAGCGTCAGTTCGTCGTCAGCGCCCACAAGCTTTCCTTCGACGCCGAGGCAGCCTCCCGTGAAGCATTCTGGTATCGCGAAGAGCTCCTCCGCCGGGTATCCGGACACTGGAAAGAGAAAGCCGGCGGACGCGTGGGGATCATCGACCTTCGCAACCTCCGTTTCAACGCCCGCATGGTCGACGCCTTCCGATCCGACGACATCGGCGTGACCTACGCCCTGGAACCCTTGCTGCCCGATGAGTCCACCAGTACCGCGGCCGTGCGCACTGGAAACTCCAAGTACGACGTCCGAACGGACGAGCTGCTGAACCTCACCGTCACGGTTCTCAACCGCTCGAACAGACCCCTGCACCCACTCCTGCGGCTGCAGCCCAGTCTCCGCCACCAGCCCAGCAACGTGGCCCTGGACCTCTCACGGCGGCTCGCCTGGACTGGCATGCTGCAGCAGGTGCTCCCTGTTCTCAACGGCGGGGAAAGCACGACCGCCACCGTCGGCGTCACGGCTCTCTGCCGGGGCGAGTATGAGTTCGGCGCAACCGTAGAGGAGCTCCGGCTCCTGGCGCCCACGTCGGAGCCTGGAGGCGATGCCCGTTCGGCCGCCTTCCATGACGCCGATGGTATCATCACCGATACGTTTGGTGCGGATGTGGCCAAAAAGCGTCGGATCTGGCACGCCCAAGAGACCTGTGTTATGAACGCTCATGATTGAAACGCCAAGCGATCGGGGGATAGGAGCACACAATGAATAAATAGATGGATAAACGCTCCCCGTAATTCAGCTGATGTATAAGGAGAACTGTTTCTTTAGACAGAATACATATATACCCTCTCTGTCTCTCTCCTTCTCCTGTTCCTGACTGTGTTCCCATGCAGGCTGTCAAGATGATTAAGCATGCTTCTCGCACTTCGGACTAATGCTATGGATAGCCCCTTTCAACGACGCTATAAATGTACCTCTAAAGTGATCGATGTTGGCTGATATTCCAATCTCATGATTCACATTACCCTATGCAAGTTTTGGATATACCTACAATAGTCTTACTTCTTACTTAGTGATTGCGCCTCATGTCATTACAGCCCCGCTCAGCTGCACAGCCGCCGCAATCTTGAGTGCGAGATTCGCAGAGTCCAAACTGACGGTACGAAGCGCAAAGGAGCATGCTACAGATGGAGAATAAACAATGGATATATTAATAATGGAGCCCCCATGGATATAACTAATGCCCGATAGCCCTCTGCAACCGTCCAGCGGCAGTCGAGGGCCCGGGCTCGGGCCAACCGCTCACAGCATCATCAACTTCTTCCAGGAAGCTTGTGCTGTTGTGAATGGCTGTGCCACCTAGCACTACCCGCACGCCAGGCGAGCTAGCGTTGACTTGGGCGACCATTTTGGCTTCTTCGTAGGTTGCGCCACCAACCATGAAGATGATTATGTCCTGAGGCTTGTCTCGGGTATGGCCCCCGCCCTCGAGAAACGGGTACTGGAGTTCCCTCAATCGACCTTTGATCAGGTTCTGAAGCGTGGCTTCTAAGCGCGGAGAATGTTGCGTGTAGACGTTCTCTACGCCTTTGAGTCCCTTGAAGCGATCTCGCGCACCAGAGAACAAGGAGGTGGACTCGAACAAGTCTGAGAAGCCACCAGCGACCGGGGGCGCCTGCAAGGAATGGTGATAAGCGAGTAATTTAGGGATGATGTTGACTTTGTACGATGGAACATCGCCCGCAGTGACCAGCAGGTCAAGGAGAATCGGAAGAGCATTGTTGGGCTGCCTTTCGTACCGAATGGCATACAATGCCACTAGCCGTAACTTGCTCTCAGCTGACACCTTTGGTAATTGTATTACCCTTTGGAGATTCTGTAAATATGTGGTCAACCGGGTGTCCTTGGGTGCTAGGCCATTTCAGATGTAACCATCTTGATGCATACCTTGAGGTCATTCGCGTGGTTGTCATTACAAGCCAAACTCTGTTCCAACTCACTCACGTCAAGAAGATCCTCTTCCCCCACGCGTCTACTCAGCTCGCCAACCAAGGTAACATGCTTGCTAACATTCCCGGAAAGCTTGCGAAATTCGGGATAGTCTTCAACAAAGCGTTTCATGTCTGCAATCGAGTCGATGTTCATAGTGCTGTGAGTCTTTGCTTGATATTGCTCGACGTATTCTTTGATGTTCTGGCCTAGATCGCCGAAGTTTTGATACATATTCTTCTTAAAGAAGGGATCTTGGTCTTGAGAAAGAACGATTTCCCGCAGCTCCGGCCGGATCTCGGGCACGTCTCTCAGATCCACTCGACCATTGTGGATGCCCATCAATTCATGCACCATGGCCTGGTAAGTCCATTGTGTGAGTAGCGGCGTGATGGGATCATCTCGACGGTCCAAGATCAATAGTATCGGCGGCGTATCCGTCTTGCGAAAATCAAATAGCTGTTCCTCTTGGGTCAGCTGGTAGCGGACCTCGGTGGCCAGCTTCTTGGCCAACAAGCTGTTCTTTTCGTAACGAATCAACGGGTTCTTTTTCAAGGACAATAAGATCGCAATGACGCCTTCGGTAGCTCTCTGTAGGGCATCGGGGTTCCACAAATCTGGCGACTGGCTCCACAACCGCTGCTGAGGGTATCCAAGGTTCAAGGAGCACAGATCCGGGTTGATCACGAGGAAATCTGCGAAGTGCTCCTGGACCAGGCGAACGACTTCGTGAGAGTCAGCTTCGGCAAGCCTCTCGAGTGACGATTTGCGGATGATATTGCTGAGGTAGATATAGTATTCCCCGTACTTCGGTTCGCGGAGCTCGTCGATCAGGAATTGGATCGAGGTGGGGGATGGTCGTACGAAGCACAGGCATCGCAAATGTCGCATTCGTTCGCGAGAAGCATTATCGAGCCGATCAATCAGATAGACTTCATGGTTCAACAGTGCGGATTGAGTAATGGCGGTGGAGACAATGGGGACCTATTCCAGAGCCGTTAGCACATACGGTGTCTATTCGACACGATCCGCGCAAGTCCCACTGTCTCACTGTCAAGGAGCAAGATCTTCATCTTGGCCGAGGACGAAGGGCCCGAAGCCGATGAGTCGCCTGCGGTGACCATCTTGGAGATGTATCCCGAGACCGCGGCCACAACGTCCATGTTCGGCGACCGGAAGTGTTGGGTTGGGGAAAGTGGGGAAAGAGGAGGGAGTGCAGCGAGGGCAGCGAGTGCAGCAAGCGAAGCAAGCGACAGTTAAGATGAAACTCAGGGATCAGAACCAGAAGAAATTGGCGACATCAAGGACGATGCAAATAGGGGGGGGGGTTGTTGACACGGAAGTGGAGATGTGGTGGTAAGTTACGGAGGAGAAAGGGAAGAAGGAGACGAGGAGACGATGCCAAGCAGCGGGAGGAAACAGATGACGATGCCCATGTGATGCATAGCTGGATACCTTTTTTTTTGTTTTTCGCATCTCAACACTTTTCGGTGGCTTTTTTTTTTCTTCTCCTTCTTCTTTTCCCTTTCCTCTTCTTCTTTTCCTTCTTCTTCTCAATGTCGCTGTTCACCGCACTCATGCATATCTCATTTCCTCTCTATTAACTAGTATTGATCCCTACTATCCTACAGTTATTCCGTTATTCCGTTATTCCCTCCATTCCTTCTGCAACATTATGTTGCCCTTTATAGATCTTCGTATGTCGCTCTCCGCCAACTTCCCCCCCTCCAAAGAGCGGTAGACTGACCTCCCGTTGGTGCCAGTGTTCGACTATCCCGCAAGGGCAACAGGAGCTTCCATTGATGAGCGTATGTTTCTCTTCTATACCTATACTGGGCCCATTTAGTGTGCTTGCGCGCAGTGCTGATTCCGCGGTTGTTTGGTTCCCTCGGCATAGTCAAGCTCATTGCGTCATTCCTCCTCTCATATCCTTTGGCCGGCCTGTTGAAGCGAATCCCCGATGCTCAACCCTGGAAGAAGAATGTTTTCATCATCGCCGTATCGCTGGTCTACATTGTTGGTCTCTTCGATTTGTGGGATGGTCTTCGCACATTGGCCTATAGCTCCGCTGGTATCTACCTCATCGCCTATTACATTGATGGATCATTGATGCCATGGATCGGTTTCGTCTTCCTGATGGGCCACATGTCCATCAATCACATCTATCGCCAAATCGTCGACGATGCGCAGGTCGTGGATATTACAGGCGCTCAGATGGTCCTGGTCATGAAGCTTTCCGCGTTTTGCTGGAACGTTCATGATGGTCGGTTGCCGCAAAGCCAGCTCTCAGATGCCCAGAAGTACGCCGCTATCACTCAGTTCCCAAGTGTTCTGGATTATCTGGGGTATGTGCTCTTCTTCCCATCTCTGTTCGCTGGCCCGGCTTTCGATTACGTCGACTACCGCCGCTGGATTGACACGACTCTATTCGATGTACCTCCTGGAACCGATCCTTCCAAGGTGCCCCCGACCCGGAAGAAGCGAAAGATCCCCAGAAGCGGCACGCCTGCTACGAAGAAAGCTATAGTTGGATTGGTCTGGATTCTGGTTTTCCTGCAATTAGGCTCCTTGTACAACCAAGACACCTTACTCGGAGAGGGCTACATGAACTACTCCTTCCTTAGACGGATCTTCATAATGCACATGGTCGGCTTTGCTGCCCGATGCAAGTACTATGGCGTCTGGTCACTAACAGAGGGTGCCTGCATCCTCTCTGGAATGGGATACAACGGCTTCGACCCCAAGTCGGGCACGGTCTTCTGGAACCGTCTCGAGAATGTTGATCCATGGAGTCTCGAGACAGCGCAGAACTCCCACGGCTACCTGGGCAGCTGGAACAAGAACACTAACCACTGGCTGCGGAACTACGTCTACCTGCGCGTCACTCCCAAGGGCAAGAAGCCTGGATTCCGCGCCAGCATGGCCACCTTCACCACCAGTGCATTCTGGCACGGTTTCTACCCTGGTTACTACATGACCTTCGTTCTAGGCTCCATCATCCAGACCGTCGCCAAAAGTAAGAGCCCAGATTCTTCACCTACTGCGGGAACTTTGATACTGATCGAACTCCAGAATTCCGCCGTCATGTCCGGCCCTTCTTCCTCACTCCCGATGGCAGCAAGCCTGGGCCCTACAAGCGCTATTATGATGTTATGAGCTGGCTCGTCACTCAGATTACCATGTCCTTCACGGTGATGCCTTTCATCTTTCTCTCTTTCGGCACCTCGGTCGCCGTCTGGCGCAGCGTCTACTTCTACGGCATCGTCAGCAACCTTCTCTCGATCGTCTTCTTCGTCAGCCCCGCCAAGGCGATCCTCGTCAAGAAGCTCAAAGCCCGCGGCACCAGTCGCCCGCCACACGGCCCCCGCACGGCCAGCGCCGAGTCGCTGCAACAACCGCCAACCCTCGGTCTTCCCAGCGACGCCATGCAGGAATTTGATGACGCCGTCCAGGAGATCATGGCCGAGATCGAGTCCCGTCGCAGACGCGGCAGTGTCGTCTCTATGCCCACGGGCGAAGAGCTGAAAGTCGCCGTCGAGAGCAAGATCGGGCGTAAGCTTCCCTGATTTTCAGGATCCTTCTATACGCTTGGGAGGTGGGAATGCATTGTATGGATGGGTCATTCATGGCTCCCTTCACATGATCGTCGCCTTCCCTTTCGTTATGTTCTCTTCTGTGTCACTTGCACTCCAGTGCGAAACTAATGCGGTCAGATGGATTCTCCATCGCGTGGCCATTCAAGGACCGGTGACTTATGGGCGGGCTGGATGGGCGGGGTTGGAAAAGTTGGCCACCGCAGCTGATTCAGCGCCGACTGCGTGATAGACAAGGACTATCGCCCTCATTCAGAACTTACTTTGTAACTTTAGATTTTGTGTTTTGGCTCCCGGCGCTCGTGGTTGCGCAGATCCATCTCGGGGTCTTTTTGTTTGTATCAGTATTGAGCGACGCAACTTGATTTGTGACGTTTTGGAGTCCAGTTGGTTGGTTTCTTGTGCCATGGCATAGTGTCCGTGATCTGTCGTGTATCATCACTCAATGAGAGTACAAGCTGAGTAACCTTCTCCGTATCCGTTATCTAAGAGCTCGCCTACCATCTAGATGATCTACCTAAGCACCATTGTCTGATATAACCATCGTATCATGTATATCTACCTATGTGTTGATTTTGCTATATAGTCCGTGAATCCCAACTCGAACCCGCAGAGAATACATTCTCATCAGCACTCGGGTATTGAGATGGGCGACATCAAAATAGACAAATGAAATAAAGAACAGTAACATATATCCCTCGTGTGTCGTGAAATCCCAGATAATTCCACCGCTATGCATGCACTTGACAGACAATCGAATAATCCTAATGAAATTGACCAGATAGACGGTTTCGGTATAGTGCGGATAGACATAAGAGGACCAACACCCATTTGTCGAGGAAATATGAAACTGATCTTCAGAAAAACGAAATATAGAAAAACATTATAAACATCACGTCATGCCAGTCGTGTCGAGAGTGATATGTAAGTATGATATACCAAGCAGCCGTGGGGCAGAGGAAGCTGGATGCGAGTATAACTGCAGGCGCATCGAGCAGGCGGCGCTCAGGTGAAATCAAGGCGTACGAAGGGGTATAAACAGGTAAAAAGAGTCGACTCCAAGCTTTGTGATGCGAAAGTCAATTCGAGCATACACAATGCGATGCAGGCGCAGGCATGGCCTGCGCAGGGAGCGCCAAAGCAGCCGATGTACCTCGGCGCCCTAATCAGGCAGAAGCTGCAAGCGCGATGGGCTTGCAAAGAACATAGAACAGGGAGCTCGGGTTTTCAATCAACCCTAGAAGCCCACTGTTGTACCGACAACGGCTAAAGTGATCTGCCATGTTGTTAGTTGAGGGAGCAGGAGCATGGCTCATGCAGCACTTACCACAATGGTGACGATTACTAATCCCAAAGGGTTCATCCACCTGTTGAGCTTTCTCCACCATCGGGCATTTTCGTAGCGTCTTCTCTGAAGGTCGAATAGTCGCATACGTAGGCTTGTTTCCAGTTGGGACTCGGGATCCTCCTGCATCTCCATTTCCGGTTGTTTCGGCAAAGGGAGGAATGAGGCGATCAGCCAGGCTAACGAGCGCAGAGTAAGCACATGTTGCAGTTAGGCTGCGTAGATACCAGGCTGTTACTTACCAAGAGGGAAGATGAACCCAACACAGAATGACCAGACTTGGATATTTCGCCGACCGAATAGAGGTTCCATCCTCGAGTCAAGGGATGGAGCTCCCCGCGTGCCCTTTCGTGGGCCCGTCGCACGTCGATCGGGCAACAGGTGTGGCGACCAGCTGCTGCGCAGCCGATTGCGGGTGTCCCTTCTTTCGAGTTCTGGATCTTTTACCCAATGGCTTCGAGGGTCGCGTGGATCGCTCGGTGGTGCCTCCCACCGTACGCTTCGTAGGTCACTGGTCATTGTTCGAGTATGGCTGTGAGCCGTGGGCATGCGGTAAAGAGCGCCATTTGTACTCGCCGTAGCTGGCCGTAAGGATGGTGGGCGACTTCCCTCCACCGTGGGTAAGCCCGAATGAGCAGGCTGCGCTTCGGAGCGCGCATAGTACATCCTAGCCCAGTTGGGCAAGATGTTATGGATGGTCGAGCTTGTTCCCGGCCGCTTGGTGCTTCGCATACTGCTTCGTCGGGATCTAGATCCGGACGAGAGGCTGCTGGGCACCGCTGGGTTAGAGGGGCGCGCTGGCAAGTTTGCGACATCGTCATGCTGTTCGTCGCCGTCCGAGTCCTCCACTTCATTCACAAGCCACACAGATGAAGACGTTGGCTTTGGGCGGACCAGGGCTGGAGAAGGCCGTCTAGGCTCTGCCAGAGAGTTGTTGCTAGATCCTTCAGCATAGTTCGAATCACACTCTGCTGACCATCGAGATGTCACTGTCGACAAATGAGTTTTGAAGCGATCCGAAGAAAAATCAGCCGTAGGTTCCGGAGGGGTGGGCTCCGCAACAACCTCGGAAGTAGATACATCGACTCTTGAGCTTGACGATGAAGGAGCGCGTATTGTCGGATATTGCAAGAAAACCCCGCTGTCGACGATCGCCTGGATATCGGAATTCGGCCCGCTCCGCGATGAGGACGTGAGAGAGCGAGAATGGCTTCGCCCGCGTGGAAGCGTTGAGTTTGATTGAACTGGGTGCACCTGATTGGAGGGATTGGACCGGAATGATTGTGAGCGTGAACGCGAAAGCGAGCTCGATTGTTCGGAGGATGAACCGTGAGTCCATTGAGCCGCTCCGATATACCTGATGACCGTTCCCAAGGAGT